TTCTTAGGCTCTTTTGTTGATGAGAACACTGATGCAGGTGTTTTTTCTTCTACTTCTGAATTGAGCAGTTCAGCTCTCAGTCATTCCAATGAACCTGAAATTGTCTGCATTGAAACTTTTTTCCTGGTTTGCTTGTGTTTGTATGTGTCATGTTGCTTTTTCTTCCAAAGACGCCTGTCAGAGAAGACTTCCATTCTGTATTCACAGACCAATTCTGTATGTATTCTGTATCTATTTTTCCTTGTTTGTTGATAAAAACATAAGTTGATCGAGCTGTATATTATCTGACTCGTTTCTCTTGTATCAGAGTTCTCAAATTTTTAAGGTTTTGCCAGTTTTCTAAAGGTGTTGGACTTTGACCACTTTCAATTTACTGCCTGTACATTTTTCTTGAGGAAGCTATTGTTTTTAATTAACTCAGAAATAATAATTCAAGGAAGATCATTCAAAGTGACACATTGGACGAACTCACTTATGTGCCTTTTTTTCCTTGCAAATACCCTTTTTAGACATTTTAAAATAATTTTAAGTCCTGTGAAATCTGGTTGAATGAATTTTAATGGTACCATTGTGCCTAAAAAATTACGTAGCAGTTTTGAGACTCTAATTATATAAAGCTTACTGTTTCTATATTTTTATATATTGATATAGGTTCTTAATAACAACAGAGTCAACTTTTTGTTGTAAGACTGCTTGATGCCTTTTCAGTTTTTTTCACTATTCAGCTTATAGTAATATTCCTGGGGTTTGGATTATTTCAGTGGAGTAGAAATGTCTGGGGATCAAAGTCCAGAAGAAGTACCATGGAAGCTGGAACCTCTCAGTGTCCTATAATCTTGCATGTTAGAGTCGCATGAAGGGCGTAACAGCTGAGCAACCCCCAGATGAGTGCCACACACAGAACTGTGTGGTAAGAGTACTGTGGTTAGTTGCTGCAGAAACAGGAGGTCCTTCACTCAGTGAAGAAGAATAGATCTGCCTTGTTATTTTGCTGTACTGACCATCTGTTTCTGCCCTTTGTCAGAGAAGTTGTGAAGTCTTGCGGGAACTCCTGGTGTTCTTCTGGAGAAAGAGAGCAGATGTGAGAGTGAGGAGGCAAAGATGGGCAGGAGGAAAAAAGGAGTGGCCTCTTGAAGCAATACTGCTTGGTTTTTGGAGAGTCACGGAGAAGTCAATCGAGGTGGAAATCAGCAGGAAGGAGTTGGATGGGTGGTTTGCTTGTTTGTATCCCTGAAGGATGGATCTGAGTAGGGCAATACAGGTTCAGACATGGTTTTTATTCAGCTACTGCTTCTTTATGAGGACTTAAACTGTAATCTGTTATCAGTCAAGTAGGATTTGGAAAATGCTTAGTCAGGTTTTTTGGGACACAGCAGTGCTTCCAGGAGGTTTCAAGAAGGAGACAATTTTAGATGGAGTCCAGAGACAGAAAAGCTTAGGAAGCATACTTGAAAAGGCCAGAGAAGTGGAGTGTAATTTGAAACCTGCCCTGAGAAAAGGGAAGGCTAAGACTAAGAATTAGACTGAATACCAGTTTTCTGGAAATCATCCATATGTGATTGTGCTAATGAGAGTTTTATGACACAAATTTGGATCCGAAGGGTCTGGCTTATAACACTTTTTTTTTTTCTTTCTGAAATTCTACTCAGTGGGAAACTGAATTTTGGCCTTTTCATTTTAAAAGGAAATTCCAAAGCTTTGGACTTTGAACAAAATAAGGTTTCCAAAGACTGGGTAGCTGTAAGAAGTTCTCTTTTTTCTAACAGCTTATGTGAGTGGTACTATTGGTGGATTTAGATTCATAGCCATAGGGAAATGTAGGTTAGCTGTTTCTGCATTGTCTATTGGCTTTGGTTTAGGTGGCAGCTGGTAGATCATGTGCTCCTAGATATATGAATATCAACAGCAGTGATCTGTCTAACAAAGCAAAAAGTACAGCAACTTCCTTTTATGGTCTTCCTGACAATACACTGGGCATCCTACAGCTTCCTGCTGATGGTGTTTTCTCATACATTTCCTCTTCAGAGTTATATTTGCTGGCAAGAAGTTTGATCTTCTTGTCGGCTTCATTACTGTCTTGCCCTGAAGACTTCAGGGTTCTGATAATTTATTGTTTGGTTTATTTTTTGTATTTTGCTTTGTTGTTGGTTTATTTTGGGGTGGGGTTTTTTTTGTTGTTTTTGGTTTTTTAAAATTGTGTCTCTGTTTTGTCTTCTGTGTATATGGAAGCCAATAGATATTCTTCACTTTCATAGTAGTCAAGGCCAGGAAATTTCAATGTCAGCTTTGAAACATGAAAAAATTACTTTCTAAACCAATGACATGGGTGAGAATATCTACCGTCTGCAAGACTAATACAAACCCTTCTCCAGTTGTTTGCATCAAAGTATACTGGAGCTACAGCATGGCTAAAAATATTTTCATATGAGGAAATTAATCTTTGGGTGCATTTCATCTTTCTATTGCCACCACATATGGAATCCTTTGGTTAGATGTTTATGTAGTCATGCTGATTGTAGGGGTCATGTTTAACTAGTAAGCTGGGCTACATAAGGAGACATCATTGTTTTTTTCAGTTCAAATTGCCTAGATAATGGAATTAAATATGTAATTGTTCTGATTTATTTTGTCATCTATTATGTTCTGTATGGCAATGATGCAGGTTTGCCTAAGAAAGGAAGCTCATATCCTCACTCCTCAGAGCATACCTAAGGTGTACATGGAAAAATCCTAGTGAGATGTTGGAGTGCTACTTATGAACGTATACAGGTTTAGATGAAACATACAGAAATATATTTCTCTTTGGAGGCAGAGACTTGAAGGATATATCCTAGGATCTAACTTCTCCATGTCCTTGTCTCAGACTGATTCGTTTTAAGCAGCTCCCTGAAGTGTGTACACTCTTCTGCATACCTGTTTTGTTGAAAGTACACAGACCTGGCACCATTATGTTTGCCAGGCGTTCTCTTATCTCCTGCAAGCATTCAAACAAAAGTGTTCTATTGCTCCCTGAGTAATCTGTGGGTGATCTTAACATTGAGCAAAAGTCAGGGCAGGAACTTACGTTGAATTTCTTAGCTCAGGAGCGAACAGTCTCTGGAAGGAAAGGGGGGTGGAGTAGGGAGAAGACAGCCACAACTCCAAATAAATAGTTTAAGGGTTGCAAGTGTGTCCATATACGAAAACATTGCATAAGCATAAAAGTGCTGAAATGTTAGATAGTATAAACTGAGTTTCACAATATATCCTGGCTTTAATAAAGCTGTTTCTGTATAGGCTTTGATGTTAGTGTTTTCTTAAAGTAGATCTCTCAAACCTATCTCGACCCAGTTTCTATTTGCATGCTAATTTTAGTGTCCAGTTCTACAAGGCAAATTTGGCACATTTTGAGGCATACAGATAGTCTTATTGAGCAACAGGGGTTATTAAATATAATGTATAATACCATGCCCTGTGTAGAGGGCATCTTTAAGTCTCTGTTGCAACAATTATTACACTTGGATGAGGGAGGGAAGTTTAAAAATACCCCAAATAATTAGCAGCAGATTTTTGCATGTGCCCCCTACCCCAAAAGAAAACAAAAATCATGTTGCTTCCTGAACTGTTAACTGTTACATAGGCTGCTACATTGCTTTCTGGTAAGGGAAAAATAGAAAAAAAAAACCCACATTATTTCTGAAAAAGAATTTTAAAATTATTTTTGGTTTAATCCTAAAAGTTAGCTTTGTGCTCTGCTTAGAGATACAGTGTGACCTGCTTAGTTTAATGAAGGTCAACACTTTTTTGTTTATAATTTTCTTAAACTGCAACTAAAACTATGTCTCAAGCCTGGAAAGGGGAAACATGATAAGTCCCAGACTAAGAGTGCTATCTCTAGATGGCAATCAGAAACACATGAGCTTGAATTATATTCTGTAGTCTTTAAGTGTATACAGAATTTCTCTGTGACTATTAAGGACATGGATTTATGGGACAAAAATTAACTTGTTGCTGGGTCTCTAGCTCTGATCAATGTTGCAATTTCTAGGTTAATCTCACTGAGGGAATTATTCAGCTTACTGTGCAAGTGCACATACACACACCACACACACAAACACACAAAAATATGTGCGCCATCATATATATTCTAATGCAATATTCTAAATTTCAAGATATAGATGAGGAAAACTGGATTTATATAGCTTTTAAATGAATGGTCACTGCGCTTGCAAAACTATGTAAGAGGAATACTGAAAAGCACCTTTTGAAAAATAAATCTTTGTATTAGCTGAGAACAATTTTTCAATAGTTAGCGCAAATATTTCCTGTGCCTTGTGAAATGTTTCTATAACAAGTGGGGAGTAAGGGTTCCATTTCTAAATGAGTGTACCTCTTAATGATTTTTTTTTTAATCCAAGTTAGGTAGATAGAAATCACTCTATTTGAGCTGTTCCACTGGGGTTTTTTGATGCTGAAAAAAATACAGTATGTGTGTGGCACCAGAATTGGTTGGGAACAGGAAAGGCATATTTTGTATCTATACTAAATGTGTCGGCTTAGTGCATAGAAGATTTGACCCTTGTCAGGTGTTTTGAAGTTAACTGGCTGACTTATGGATTAATGAGTTTAAGACTGAAGTCAACCAGCGACAGGAATGAGCTTTGTTGTGTGAGTGTGTGTGTGGCTGTGGTGCAGATTTACAAATTTTTATAATGCTTTCAGCTGGACCATGAAAGTCTGATGTAAAGCTTATCTCTGATCTCTGACTATGGCCATACTTGTGGGATCATGTTTATGTGTATGGGGGGAGGGAGATGAATTCTTTAACACTTGACACCTGGCTCTGCCAGGTTTCTAGCTATACTATACTGCACTATTCAAGGCATTAATAAAGTTAAAACCTTAAGCTGTATGACCAGTAGGTCATAAAAAACTGTTGCTGAGTATTGTGACCAGCTTTCTTTCACAGCTGGATTATCATCCTGAACAACTAACTCTTTTTTCTTTTCTCGTTTTCATAGCTGTTGTGAACTTGGACAACTCTGTGGTTGATCTAGAGACACTGCAAGCCCTGTATGAGAATGTGAGTAATCAGAGGAAGTCCATAAAATGTAGGAATACTGTGTCTCCATGTGAAGGTATTTTTACTTGGCATCAGTAATATTCAGAAAGCTTGTAGAAGTCCTGTTTTGAAGTGACGTTATTTTCCCCAAAAGCAATGAGTACCAAGTATTTTAATTGCATTATTTCCATTGTGTGTTTTATGAAGTGCATGTATGTCTACATAAGTAACACGATCAACTTGTAAATGACTAAACAGATGTTAATTTTGCTCCTTTTTTTTGCTTCTTGGGTGTGGAAGTCTTTGATCAATAGAACCAAACCTTACACTCCACACCTTTGAATTCACTTTGTAATTTCACTAATATAAAAATCCTGCTCAACTAAAAACAGTTTTGATAACAGAAATTATTCTCTTTATGGAACTGGAGCATTTAATTATTGTTGTTTCAGGGATTGCTCTAAAATAGTTTTAATTCTTTGAAAGGAAAAGAATTTCTCTAAGGTGGTGTATTAAAAAGTAGTATAAACTTCCAGGGGCTTCATAAATGTCTGGTGGTAATAATCCGAGAGATTTAACCTTTAGGTATGTAAAGTCGGGGATTCAGAATATGCTCAAGCATGTTCTAAAACTTGACAAAGCCTGTAAAGTAAAAAATTCAAAATGTTGTATCTTAGAAGCGTGTTTCTGCCTTCAGCTGAGGCCAGTGAGCATTGCCCCTGTCTGTGAGTGCAGTGCCTGGATATGTGGGGGTCTGGCTAGGTATCTCTTGAAAGAGTGAGGAGGCTTTCCCTTTGCCCTCCAAAGAACTTCGAAATATGAGATGTAAAGCTGTGAGCCACAGAATGGCATTGAAGGCCAGGGTATGTTATTGTACTCGATCCTTAATTTCCCTCGTGGTTTTGAGAATGTTAATTAATTTTACACCTTTCAGATATTTGGTTTTTAGAATTTAGCTTTTAGTCACCTGCTTTGGAATGATTTGATGGTTTATGAAGTCCCTCTAAATAATGCACTTTGACATGCCAAAAGAGAGATAGTAAGCTCTAGTCCGCTTTACAGAAAAACTGAGGAGCTAAATAAAACAGGAAGAAACCAAAAGTCTGACAAGAGCTAGAAAGAACTTTTGCTATCCATTCGTGAAGAACTAGGTTAACCAACACTGCCCAGAAAGATAATGGTCAAAAGAAAAACCTCTTCCAACACCATTCCAAATCTCTATGAACTCTTTGCTTCTTTGCTCCACAAAATTTTTGTTTTGGCCTATGGTATTTTATTTTAAATTACTTTTAATCTGCTTCCTTACACAGTTCATGTATATTCCATGCCATGCAGTTTTTAGCATGCAAAAAATTTGAATTAATTTTATAAGTTACATGTGTGTGAATGTGAGAGATTTTCTTGTGGGAAGTATGGAATACATACTGCAGTCATAATCAGTTTTTGCATACTTCTCTTTCTTATTGTGAACAAGTTGGGTTTTTTCATATCAGTTTGAAAATATATTCCTCTTATGTTGATAATGTGCTAAAACTTTTTAAATTTTTACTTAATGTCCTCTCTAATATACTTCAGAATCCTAATATAATGGATTATTTGCAAATTTGCAGTTCATTGAAATAACCAAATACAAAATGTCATTGTGTCCATTTTGTAATTACCTTCACTTATTACAGAAAATGTCTAGGAAATGTCCTGATCAAGGAAAATACCATGTGTAAATCTCAGGAAAGACTCAAGTTTTCAACTGTCTAATATATTTCTTTGCTTTGAATAGAAAACAGACCAGTCCAACTTTATTGTATTTGCTTGGGTGGAAAACAAAAAAAAACCCCAAAACCACAACCAAAAACCAAACATATTACAAGAAAAGCCCTCATATTACTTGAATAGGATTTTATAAGGGGACCTGAATTTTAATCCTGGATCTTCTTTTTGATAAAAATCTGTCTTGAAACAAGCTTTCTTTTTAGTTGACTTTTGTTTTCTTTTTTTCCTTTCAGCCCTTTGTCAAAACAGTTCAGACCTTGCATTTTCTTTCCTTGCTAGCTTCACTAATTATAGCAATATTGTTCAATAACTGTTGTAAGTAATGGGTGGTACCAGAAAGCCTGGCATGTTTGATTCCTCCCTTATTTCTCAATCTCATCCTGTGTTGTAAGTGGAAATAACTTTGCAGAATTTACTTCTTAGCCATTGACTTAATTTTTAGTTCTTAGGGGTTTTTTTATTGGATTGAGAATTTTTTTTGCTGCATATTTAAATACCACTGTACTAGTCCTCAGTCTTTCTATTTGATTTGTATGGAACATATGGGAGCATTTGTTTTACAGTTCTTCCTTCAGAATGTAATCATTTTTTCTGATTGCATGTGTCTGGCATAGTGCTTTCCCTTCTTAAATGTGAATGAAATTTGGGCAGTCTCCAAACCTAAACACACCCTAATTTCAAAAGCCACAGTCCCGAGGGTTCAATTCCTGTTTACTGAGGAATTAAACTCTTGTTAAACCACAAAGATATTGTATATATCTTAGTGACTTTTTATAAACTAAGAAGCCCACACCCCACCAAAGACCCAAGCCATCAATAATTAATTTAATATTATTAAGTTGAATTGTATTAAGTGAGAAAGACTGTGTTAGTGCAGCATTGTACTGTACAGTCAAATAGCTCTTAGGTGTGGTTGTGTAGCTTGCTTTGTGAAGAGTTGTTTAAATACATGTTGATAATTAGTTATGTATTAATATCTAGACAGTTTTAACAGGAGAATATTTGTAGATAAAACTACATGTAAGTGTGCTTTTCCAAATTCTCTAATAACAATGCAATCAGGTGATCACTATAATTAGAGAGAGAGAAGGCAGGTAAACATTCCAGTTGCTGTGTGGTGTTAGGACATATTGATTCTGATGAGAAATGTAGCAACTGGCAAATCAGTGAATGTTTACTTTGAAACAGATAGCCTCTTAGCAGCTGGGGTTGTGGCTTAAGCATCACTGAAACAAGGTATGTCTGCTTCTGCTTATGCCTTTGCTATGTCATGAAAACGGTTGTATAAAAGTGGATTAAAAATGCTATTGAATAATTTATCATCTTTCATCTATGGATTTCCCCTTTTTACATCACAAAAGAAACATGCATATTTTCATAATTAGGCTCCCAGTAAATTGCCCACACTGTCTTTATCTTTAAAAGACTTAGGTCAATGCTTTCAAAAACCTCAAAATGCCTTTGCTAGAGAGAAAGGGCATCCACAAGTCTGAAGTGCATCACACTTCTCTGCCCTTAAGATTCAAACTTTCTCCTCAATTATTTCTTGTGATTTTTTTTTCTTATTTTAAACTAGCAATTACAATGCGATGTCTTTTTTTTTGTTTGCAAAGCCAAACTATACTTGAGTTCTGATGATCCAGCTTGAAAAGAATATGGTATTTATTATTAACCAGGGTATCTCTGTATATCCTTGTTTCATCTGCTATTGACAAAATTCCTTAGACAACTCACTCATTGTTTTGAAAGATATAACACAAACTTTTAAAGCCAAGTTTGCAAAAAAATAAAATTCCATACATTTAAACTGATCTAAACTCAGAGCTAGGCTTCTGTTGTTAGGAAAGTAAAAGCTAACCAGGAAATGTATGAGATTCATGTTGTGAGATGGAAAAAGGGCCCTTATGAACTTTGGTAAGAGCAAATACTGGCTAAATTCATACTCTGGAAGAAAATGGTAAAAGAATTAAACTGAAGTGGAATATTTTTGCAATAATTTAATTCAGATTTTTGCTGTCTGATTTTAGATATAGTTAATATCAAATTCTAGTACATTATATTATTTTTTCCACTTTTGATGCTATATATATATCTATATCTAGCAAAAAATCAAGGAAAGAAGGAGCAGTAACATTCAAAGAGATGCTAATGCAATCAGGTTAATGACTTTTATGAGAAGTGTTTATTGAATGTGTTCTCTCTTGACACACATTTGAAAGGCAATATAAAAGCTTTTTTAAAAATTATCCATCTGTAAATTGGAGAAAAAATAGGCATTAACAATAAAGAAAGCTGGTAAAATTCTGAGAAACTATTTTTGATAATACCTGTGCAATAGACACAGTATTCCTTTTCTGTCAGAATTTAAAGTACCATTGATCACAATTCTGGGTACCTGAGCCATAATTAGTCACTTGAAATTCAGATTTGAGTCTGAACTTGTGCTGTATACTTCAACTTCTTGATTTTGGTGAAGGGTGTAAACTTTCTCTCTTGAGTTGTGCTCTGGCCTCCCCATGAGTGGATCATGCTCAGCCTTTGCATCTCTGACAGTTGTTACTTGTTTGCATACACAACTTGAGAATAATGGCTTAAATAAGGAATAGGGAGTCTGCCTAACCTTTGCCCGTGGGATTTGGTGGAGAAACATCAAGAGCTTGAGCATGCATGTATGTGATAGATTGCTGTGATAAGCACTCTAATATTTCAGTCTGTATAGAAGGCTGTGAGAGAGAGAACTCTTGAGTATTTATTCTAAAATATTTGCAAATAACTATTTAGTTTTATGCTCCATGCTAAAGTACTTCTCTTTAACTGTTATGAAAAAAATGTTAAGTGATTTTCCTTCGGTTTAACATGAGAGAAGATAATTTAAAGACTGGCCAGAAATAATGGAAATTAATTTAATTTGTTAGCATGAGAACTTGTTTACTTTTACAAAAAGCTGGGTGTTTTTTTTTTCAAAAACTTAGTGTAAAAACAGTGTAAATTGAATACATGAACTTTTTGAAATATAAGTTGAATAAATAAAATAGCTCCTCCTACAGTCATGTCATTTGCACACCTAGACCTCCATGGCTCTGATGATGTGACCACTGGAACAATGCTATCTCTCTTGGCATCCTTCCAGCTTCTAAAATCTGTAGATTTCACTTGTTGCCAAGAGAGTTCTTACTGATTTGAGAAGTGATGGAAACTTTCTTTTCTTTTAACTCTCACCTGGGTAAGAGTGTTCTAGATTAAGTGTGGACATGTCCCATTTACATCGCATTTTTAACACAAAACCAAACCCAAGCCTTCTCCACAACAGCACATGCAATATTTAAGTTAATACTTCTGCATTTAGTTGTCTTTTTCTAGTCCTCATCCTGTTTCTGGAAAGGTCTTCTACAATAGGATATAAAATTGATTAAATTTTCTGATCCTAGTATCTTGGAAACATTCTTCTTCTCAGGATAGCATTGTACAAGAAACAATTGCTACAGTAATTATCTCCACAGATCCTGTGTCTGCCTTGACTTTATGCAGAAAAGTGCCTTTGGAGGATGAATCCCTAAGTTTCTTTCCCCACACTGAAGTGAGACTGGGGTAGGGAATTCACATAGCTGAGTGTTATGAATGGCCACTAATTCTAAAATTAAAAACTGGTAAATAAGCCTCAGTCTAGCCCTGATGCCATATAAACAAGCAGATAAAGGGAGGCCCAAGCCGGTCAAGGGAAGTGACCTGCTCAGCACTAGTGGGACCACATTTAGGATGCTGTGTGCAGGTGTGGCCTCTCCAGGGCAAGAGGCAGTGACACATTGGAGCAAGGCTATCACAGAGCAGCAATGATGGTTAAAGACTTGGAGAAGTGTTATTCAAGGAGAGGCTGAGAAACAGCTGGGGTTGCTCAGTCTGGAAAAGAGAAAGCTCAGAGGAATCTTCCCAGTATGTACAAATAAATACCTCACTGGGGAGGGGGAGTAAAGAGCACATATCGAGACTCAGGAATGCCCAACATAAGGGGCCTCCTGAATTTGAAGCACTAGAACAGGCTGCCTAGAGAAGGCATCAGCTCTCTATCCTTGGGGATATTCAAAACCTGGCAGGATGTGATACTGAGCAAGCTTCTCGAGCTGCCTCTGATTTTTGTCAGTGTTCACCTAGACAGTCTCCAGGGGTCCTTTCAAACCTCAGCTATTCTATTGATCTTTGGTACAGGTACTGCCACAAATTTAATCTCTTTGCGTCCAGAAAAAAGTTTATTGCTGGACAAAAAAATATATTTGCAATATTTCCAATCTGTTGAAGTATTTAATATATAAGATCAGACAACTTTAGAGATGACCTTTGAAGAGTATCCACAGAAATGCTGACTAAATACTAGGATATGTGACATCATAGACAGGTGACATCGCATTATTTCCAGGCTCCTTGAAGTATTAAGAGAAATTCTGAAGGGCTTTTGCTATATGACTCTTCAATCTCTTCATCTTTCTATTTCACATCAGTATTTTCAGCCTTTTCACATGGGAAGATGTTCAACAATTTCAGAAAAAGTGTCCAAACTCAAATTTCTGGTTTCAGGTTCCTGATGGAGTAGGCATGATGATTTGAAACAGCTCTTCTGCTAATCCTGCAAAAGCATTCAAGAGAGAATGCAGTTGCAGCATTTCTTACACTTTGCCATTATCTGAATGATTAGAATATAATTTTTCACTGTTGTCTTCAAGTTCTGTGGTGGAGAAAGTTAAAAAATGAGTGTAATTTTTTCTTAAAGGAATAAAGGTAGATACACTTTTATTAACTCTTGGGCAGATTAATGTTTTGGATCTCTCTTGGAAACTGCTATGATTGTCAAAAATGGGTCAGAAGGAGAGATATTCTTTTCACTTTTATTCCTTCCATGCCATTCAATTTTTCAGTACTACTGTTTGGAAAAAAAATTTTACCATAGCTTGGAGCACTGAAAAAAAAAAAAGTGAGGCTCAGATTCTATTGATTGTAATATTGAAGAAGAGACCCCACAGTGTGCCAGAGAGTTCTTCAAGAAGCTTGGCAGTTTATATGTACTCTTTTTTTTTTTTGCCTATTAAGATAAAAATGAAATTAATTTTACTTCAAAGAATTATGCAGTAGTTCTCATGTATTATATGTATGATAGTTCCATTATAAATATGGTTTTTTTCTAAGTGTTTTTTCAAATCCCAAAGAAAATTTAAATTGCAGTAAAAAAAACTGGTTTCATTTATTTTAGAAAATGTATTATTTAAATTATTATAATTATTTAAATTATTTTAATCTTATTTAAAGATCAGATCACATTCAAATGTAACCCAACAAATTTGTGAAGAGAAATATAACTCTCCTCTCGAGTCCTTCAATTCAAACATCTCGTAAATGAGCAAAGAGGAATTGGGAATGAAGATCATTGTCTCAGTGCATCATTGAATGAGTCAATACTTTGCAGACTGCTAGTAGTCAATATTATTATTTGCAAGATATTCTATTCTCCAACAGATCTATTTATAGTTAAACTTTGTGGACTTCATACTTTGTGGACTCCTATAGTATTACCATAAGCAGATGCTAGAAAGAAAAATCTATGAATTTGATTTTTGTTACAAGGGCATATTTCTGTCTGTTGTTTGACCAGTCAAATCATTTTTTTTATTTTTTCCCCTTTATTCCAGAGAGCACAATCAGATGAACTTGAAAAAATAGAAAAGCATAGCAAGGCATCCAAGGAAAAAGAAAATGCCAAGTCTTTGGATAAGCCAGAACAGTAAGAACATATTTATGATAGAGCAGTTTTGCTCACTTCAGAAAACTTTCACTTCTGTAGTAAAATATGTATAAAAAACCCCCGAAGCCTGTACCTACTGACAGTGACTCAAATAATTTTTTTTTAATCACTTCTTCAGGTTCCTCTATGAACTCTCACTGATTCCCAACTTTTCAGAACGTGTGTTTTGCATCCTGTTCCAGTCAACATTTTCAGAAAGCATTGGTTCAATCCGTCGCAAACTTGAATTGTTACAGAAACTATGTGAGGTAGGTTGTGCTCTGTGAAAAAAACAAATCGAAATTTTTGATTTTTAATCTTGTTAAGCTTTACTCATATTTCAAAAGTTTTCACTTTATTTACTTAGGTATTTCAAATATTTAAAATCTGAAGGATAGCAGAATTGCACATTTTATGATTGTACTTTAACATCAAAGTGAATTTTAAGATTAGCTTTTGCTACTAAATTATATAATGCTTTTGCCATCAGTGTGTATCAGTCTCTGGAAAACCGTGCACCTTCTCCTTTTGTTAAAGCAAAATCTTCTCTCTTCACAGTCACCATTATCACTCTTTCTCAAAGGAATGCCAGTTCTGCTAACCTTGTGTTGGTTGAGAAATGTGCAACTTAGTAATATCTCTGATATCTAGAGATAGCAATGTTATATCTAGTCAGAAGAGATTACTGGAATTTTGCAGTCCCGTGAAAAACAAATACATAGCTTTAAAATGCAGGTTTCACCAGAATTTTAATAACTTAAAACCATTTCAACCGTTTTACGTTTTACGTTTTGCTATCTTTTATTTAATGTTTTTAATTGTTCAACCTCAGTGTTTTATTAACTTGTTGATGAATTTTCTGTGAAATTAAATATGTTATTCACAATGTCAATATCAGTTAAGGATTACTATTTTGTTTTTCTTAACAGGTCATGTCTGGTAATACTGTACAGATTTTCTCTTATTTTTTCTAAGTATCCATTTTGTAGATAATATTCTCCATTCATATAAAATTACATATTAACATTGTTCTACTTCTGCATGTTGCAGTAGAAGGTAACTTCCTTTATCTGAGTCTTTATACAAGTATTATTTCTAAACACAACATCAACAAATCTGTTCATAAACCATAAATATTTATGGGACTTTGAACAGAATTTTTTTCTCTGTATTTTAGACATTGAAGAATGAATCAGGAGTTATGCGGGTTCTGGGTTTGGTTCTTGCCTTTGGGAATTACATGAATGGTGGAAACAGGACACGAGGACAGGCTGATGGGTTTGGACTAGATATTCTGCCAAAACTGAAAGATGTCAAGAGCAGTGTAAGTTGATTCAAGACTTCCTGAAGGCCTGAGAAGGTTAAAATCTCTGAAAATTACTTTGTTTCTGAGTGAATGGTGTGAAGCTTATGAAGGCATGTAGAAGGGACTTCTTTTGCTATTATGCTTACCTGAGCACACTTCTAGAGTTGGATGCATTTCTGTAGAATTATAAAAATTAACCATCTCTTTTCACTACTGTACAAACAAAAATACTTAAAATTATGTTTTAGTTCTTAGTCTGATGTAAATTTGATTTTCAGTACACTTCATCGTTTCAGCTTTTCTTGTAATTAAAAACAATACTATGGTCTTACTGCTAAAAGTTTATTATGGAAGTGGAAGGAGTTCCATGCTGATTCAAAATATTTGTGAGGGCAAAAATGTCACTCCTGAAAACGATTGAATAGGCATCCAGAGCATTTGGGATAACCCAAAATTCATTCTTTATGTATACCATGATTACAGAGTTTGTATTTGACAATGGAACATGCAGCCACCTGAGTAAAGGACTTCTTGATTCAAGATCTGTCTAGTGTAGTCATCTCAGTAAAGACAATTATAAGTAGTGTTTTTTCTTGCTCAGTGCTAAACTGTAATTTGTGTGTTACCAGCACTTTTTGTCTTCAGTTAATAATTTTGGAGTTGCATTCAAATACCTGCTTTGTTTACAAGGAAACAATCTTTTGAGTTTCTATGGCTAATGAAAAACCTTATCTGAATGTGACAGATTATAGCAATAACTCTTGAGCCTTAAAATTTGTTGCTACATCTGTCTGGCGAGTCACTGTCAAGATCTTCAATTCTGCAAATGGCGGGAAAAAAGTGTTGGTTTCCATTCTTGGTCCGTCACTAAACATACATATTTTAGCTGCTGGTTTAGGAGATGTGAGCAGAGCTTTAACCCTGAGTTGAGAGAGCATGTCAGCCATTTGCCTTTTTAAATGGGGGGAGGAATTTCCTTCTTGCATGCTGGCTTCTTTGGTAAACCAAGGGAGCAGTGATGTGAATGACACTTCAGAGCAGCTTCCTTCAAAAAGACTCTAAATCCAATGCATCACCAGTTTTAGAGCTCTGATCAGTAGGAAATTTAGGCACACTAAATTTAGTTTGGTAACTCAAGACTTCAGTATGTAATTTGCTGGAAATATTATGACTATTAAGCTTTCAGTTACAAGATATATTTTCAGTTCATTTGCGACTGATCAGTCAGGAAAGTTCTTAAAAAATCCTTTTCTGAAAATATCTGAAAATTTAATTTTGTCAGAAATCCTCTTCAAATGGAAGATTTTTTTGCTGAAGTTTCATTAGAGAGCTTACAGAGAAGAAGTAATTAAAAAGCTCCCTCAACCCCCAAAGCTCCCCCCAGGCCCCCAGATTCCATTTTTTAAAAAACTTTCTGTGTTTAATTTAACTATGCTTTGGTTATAGTTGTAGCGTTGCAAACGAACTTCTATATACGTGAACCCAGGAACAATTTCTCTTTTTCTTCTTGGGAAATTTCAGAATGTAAGAGTTTGATTTGCAATCAGGTAGAATTAAAAATATGAGGAGTGTGTTACATGAGTGTTTTCTCTTTCTTCATTTTATTTAATGATTAAATGGAACTTCAGGGTGTGATTTGTTTTTGTAATTAGAAGCAATACTATGCTTCTTATTCGTTTGGGTGGTTTTTTGGTATGTTTCAATTTTTGGTTTTTTTTTTTTTTTTTTAATGAAGGGACCAAACCAACAAAGTATTTTTTATACACTAAATATTTAATTTATCTGAATTATCTTTTCTGATTTTTTTTCTGTGAGTTTCAGTAACACAGCAAACTCTATCCTCTTCTATACAGGACAACAGCAGAAGTCTTCTATCATACATTGTCTCATATTATTTGCGTAATTTTGACGAGGTGAGTGAAAATTAAAATTAACTCTGTTAAATTCAGATTTAGCAGCCCAATTTACTAAATTTGCTCTTCTGTTAGTAAGATGCAGAAATATGTGTAAATGTTCCCTGGGATTTCAGTTATATATTTTAGTATAGAATAAAAGTGATGAGCACTAGGTAACTGTTCATTTGTTTATTCATCAGGATGCTGGAAGAGAACAATGCATCTTTCCTCTTCCGGATCCACAAGATCTCTTCCAGGCTTCACAACTGAAGTTTGATGATTTTCAAAAAGATCTCCGCAAAATGAAGAAAGATTTGCGAGGTACAGAACCTAGATGAAAAGCTAATTTTATGTTACTATTATATCTCTTCTATTCTTGTTTGTATCATTTTGAGAAATTAGATGTTACTGAAAAAATAGTTGTGTATTTTTAACTTTTCAATTAGTAGTTTGCCTCTTTAATTTGCTTTTCTATGACCATTTATGCCATAATCCATAATTTTGTGTAGATAACCTGTAGGAGGTTTTTAAATTAAACAGCATCAAAACAGTTAGGTTAAATCTTCTGTTTCAAAACCAAACAACTAATTTAGTTTTCCTTTTGTGTAAGCTGATTCCAAATCTTTGACCATAAAAAGCACTGCAAATTTTTGGACCATGTCCATGATAAAAGAAAAAGTTTATAACCAGGTCTAAATACTATCTAGCAGATAAAATAGTATGTATAACATTGTTAAAGACACTTGAAATATCTGGACTTTACTGAACAGTAATAGGCAAAGGAAGTATTTTTTCTCCTCTTATGAAATGTTTTCTTTAAGTGAATTCAGCAAGCTTAAGATATATTTGCTAGACTTTAATGAGGATTAGTTATCATATATTTCTTATTAACATGGGGACCTAAATACTGAATTTGTTAAGGAAGAGTAGTTTGCACAAATGATCCATGATCTTCAGTATTACTGCAAAAAATCTCTACTAAACAGGTCAGTTACGTTACTGTGCTAAATCTTTGAGGGAGAGATGCAAATCAAGGAGTGATATAACTGTTGCCTTGCTGCTTTTAAATGCCATGCCTCTAGAGACCTAGGAATGATTTGGTAATCCATTAATCCCTAGACGACCTAGAATGGGAGGTTTTCTATTACAACAAAAACATAACATGGTTACCAAATGATATCTGACCTTCTCTTCTTGCTGCTATGAAACTTTCTGTTTGGATATTTAAAAAATTATTTTCAATATTTTGACTATTTAAAGTATTTAGTATTTTTAGTATTCAAAGTTGTATCAAAGTCATTCAGGGTGACACTGAGGAATGAACAGTAGTATCATCCACTTACTGCTCCCGAACTACCTAGGGGGAAAAAGTCTCAGAATTCAGCCATGAAAACTTGTTTCTATACTTCTTGCAACTTCTAGATAATCTCAGAGCTGACATCTAAGCTTGCACATGCAGAAGAAGGATACTTAGGTCTTATTTCAAAAAGATACTTGAATTCAGGTGCATGTGAACAAATATACATTTCCTCACAAATTCCTCACAAATTCACCAAAAATGGGTTTTTGTGCATGAATGGCTGAATATTTTCACATCAAAGTTGAAATTTGCACAAAGACATAAATCTCTTGTAGATAAATCCACACTGTGAAGTGATCAAAGCAGGAGTGCTGTAAAAATGGAAATTACACGCTTCAATCTGCCTTCAGATTGCAGTTGAATTCTTTCTGTGCTTCCAATCCAACCCTTAGGCTCAAGACTCTCTTGTCAGTCTGTTTTGTAGTTAATGAAACTGAAGAATAGCTACAAGCACTGTTGCTCTTTCCCTATTGCATTTGGTACAAACGTTTTTGGGGACAGCACCAGCAGCTTCATCCTATCCTGAATCTGCAGTGACAGTTTCAACACCAGACTGAAATATCAGTGATGATTTCTTAATTGTCTCCAGATATGCAAAATACTTTGTGTTGGCTTTCTTTTTCAAAGAAAAGTGACAAGATAAATTAAAAAACATTTGTGTTAAAAGATTTCATGACCACAAGAGCAGTAGTAGTAAAATTTAGTAATAAACTAAAAATTCTGTGTATTCTGATAGCTTAATTATTGTGATGATTTCAGTGAGATAGAATAGCCTGTCTCAATGACAATAATTTCTAAATAGAGTACAAGCTTTAACAGAATGTATAAAATTACTTCAAAGGGGTTATTTTTCTCTTCATTTACTTTAAGTACACTGCCAGATTTACTAATGAACATGTGGAATCTTATGAGTTACTAGAGCGAGTAAGGGCCTTATCAAGTGTCTGAACAGGAAGAGGGTTGTATGATGCTGAGAAAATTCTGACAAAATTCTAAATATGAACTTATTCTTTTGAAGTCAGTGTGATTAAATGAGTATTGATTATTCCTGGGAAACACTGACTTTAGAGGCATAGAAATAAGTGCCCAGAATACATTAGAATCTTATCCTGTGATGTGGACTGTAACCTTGGACTTACATTCATCAGGAATTAGATGGCAGATTTTGTGACTGGATTTCACCATTTGGTGAGGGTGGGTGTTTGATTTGTTCTTTGTCATGGAGAAACTGAAACTTGTAGATAATACTGATGCAGGCACTAACAGTTTAATGTTAGTTTTAAATACGCTGAATACCATGCAGTGAGAAGATGCTTATTACGGTGGGGGAAGGAGGTATTGATTCACCCAGAACAAAGTCTTCTGCAGATATTCTATTGCTGTCTTAGAAAACTTTTCATGATCATTATTCAAAGGTAAATTTCATTTAAAAAAACTCAACAGAATACCCACAAAGAGGAGGACAGTTATTATTAAAAAAAAAAAAGGTTTCATAGCTGTAACAATAGCATTTCATTTTAGTACTGCTGTGTTTTTCCATCTAAAGATGTAGTATATACAGAGACATGCAGATATAAATAATCTTCACAATTCTGTAAAATAATTTTGTTAATGTGTTCTTTTGCAGTTTGGAGTTTGGGTTTATGTTTGTATTAGAGTTATTATGCTGACTGCTTAAAAAGAAAAAGGACTTGTTCAAACTTCTATGCTTTCTTCCCTTTTGACTATCAAGGCTATTGTCCATTTTCAGGTGTTTATGAACTCTATGCCTTGGCAGTTTGTCAAATTTTGGAAAATTTCAGATTTTACTCCTCTAGTATTTCAGATTAAAAGTGCAAGTCCCAAGGAGTTTTAGAAGCATGCCATGAGCCTGTTTCAAGATGAATAAGAGAGAAATTCGGGTTTTTTAAATAATACAGATCCAAAGGATAACAATTATATACCAGATTTTTTTTGTAAGATAGAAGACCAAAGAACAAGTAGATCCTCTTACTAACAAACCAAGCGAGTTTGGCTCCATCTGTTGCTCCTAGATTTCACAGCTCTCCAGGATTCCCACTTTAGCCTTTTTTACTTCAGTGACATATAGTTTGTTAAGCAACTTGATCTGCTTTTGATCTCTCCTGGCTGTCAGCAATGTTCCTTGATGCAGTCATGCCAAGCAATGACTTCTGTTCCTATGTCATTCCACAGAAGAAACTTTAGCACTTGCCACATGACTTAAATCAACTCACCATGTAAAGAAAATTGGGCATCCAGGGTCACAGGAGCAGTGTGTGACACTCACTGATTAGGACCTCTGTTATATAACTATTAGTATCAGTATGTTTTTCTAGACACTTCAGAGTGCTCCAGCTAGAGCAGAAAGATGTGGAAAACATGTATTAAATCAATCAAGATTCTAACCCTCTTTGCTCTGACACTCTCTTAAGGTTAAATTTTGATTTAGGAGAATGTTGGATTTGTAGCCGAAATCCACAGTGGATGTGGATGAAATTCTTCCAGACATATTTGGTTTAGGAAAGAACTAGAACACTAAAATGGCATTGTGAGTTATAGAATTATAGCAAGTTAAAAATGTTTAGAAGTTATTCTTTGGCTACACATTAGCATTCTAGCCTCATAACATTAAGTTTATTCTTGCTAATCAGAAACTAATTCATCACTTGTCACTTATTGCAAAACTTTCACTGAAGCTCAGCTAAAAGGGAATTAGAAACAATGTCAGGCTGAAAGTAAATCTGACTAGAAGAAGAGATTAATAGTACAATGAAATGCAGATTGCTATGAAACTGAGTTGAATTCAGTACTTGTTTATATGTTATAATGTCATATTTAATATATTTGATTGGAAAGTGACTACAAGGAATAATTATCATAATTAAACATTATTTTTGTAGTGATGCTTTCTTTTCCTATTCTGAGTGTTTACAACTCATTGAAAATTCTCCATCCAAAAGAAGCTAGACTGTGTGGCCCAGTACATCTCTCTGATTTGGAATAAATGTGACTGAGAATGTTTATAAAGTGTTAAGCATTTGCAGAACACTTTGTATTTTAAAAGTATGTTCCAAGAAAAGTCCTGGAGTATCTTGGAAAAATACATTTTTGAAAAATACATCCCTATTTTTTTCAGTGCTTCTTACAGTCACCTAAAGTTATCTATTCACTTTGGACCTGCTAGCTGTAGAGCTGTTATGTGCTCTTGTGTTTAACACCTGCTGTGTGAATAAGAGCATTGCAAGTACCATCTTGTGCAATAAAAAGGCTTTCAAAGGTTGTATTTGGGATGCTGTCAATGTGCAATTCAGAGAGTTTGGACAGCAACAGGCTTGCTAGTCATTCCTCTTGCCTCAATAAAGTTTATCCTCAATACCTAGAAAGAGTTCCCAACCCTGAGAGTTCAGTCAAACTGTAGTTTGAGATGGAATTTTCCTCTTCGTGGTCAAATCTGTGTCTGGGGTGCAGGGCTTACTTTGCAAAGTAAGATTGCATCCACTACTAGTTCTTTAATAAGTAATATTAATGCTTTCAGACTAAAGTTAAAAAAAAAAATTGCAGCATTCTATTTGCCCCCCTCTCTCTCACACACACACACATGTATCCTGGTATCGTTTCATATTCTCAAGAATATATTCTCCCTGTGTTCCATCATAGTTCTGATTATGGATCTAAGACTCTAGCAACGTTCCAATGCCACTTCTTGATCAGAAGTTAGAGTGGTAATAATTGTAACTTCAATTAACAAATTTGAGCAGCCTTAATCTATTTAGGGCCTCACTTCAGGTGGAGGAAAGGGAAGGGATTGCTCTTCTAAATTTGACTGTCCTCTCCTAAAGGAGAGGGACAATCTAAGAATTGATAGATTTTCCAGTTAAGGAAAGGCCTTGAGCCTAATCTGCTGATCTGTCTTTTAAAAAACTAAAGTTTGGTGAAATAAAGAATATCCTAAGAGATTTCCCAAAAAAATTTTTAATGCGCTTGTACACTGGTATTTCAAGTTTCAAGACAAGGCAGAGCTGGAGTAGAGAGAATTGAAATGAGAAAAAAAATTTATTCTTTAGAGTTTGAATTGCATCATCAAAAACATTCAGAATTTGAAATGTTTGTGGTTTTGTCATTCTCTGTTAATAGGTTTGCTACAAATGTGAATGAAGATATTTCCCAATTAAGAAATAGATTCTTTATTTTTTTTCTATGATCCATAGATCCATATTCTGGTAAAAAAATTCCTTCAGTCTTTTATAAAATAATGCCAAATCACTCAAGGTAATTAATAGCAAAATAGTATAGCAACAGTAGTAGTTTGGGTCAGTCCTCCAGTTATCTCTATCACTTACCTCTACAGAAACAGGTATTATTTTAACCAAATTAAATCTTTACATTTGCCTACTCATTAACAACTGTACATCCACAAATTCTATCTGTTTGTTCTGTTATCACTGAAAGGGTTAATTGCTGCAGCTATGCCGCATGCAGATTCCTAAACCTAAACCAGATGTAAACTAAAGCCAGGCTTTCAGTCAATCTGTGAGTCATATTTTACTGTCCTTAAAACTCCAAACAAGGAGCTGTCTATGGAAGCCCTTGAAGACTCAGCAGTTCTTAGTGTAAGTCATTACAATTCCAAAAAAAATAAATAGAAGAAAATTAAGAGCTCTTTCTGTATTTGTGGCTGGGTTCATCAGAGTGTGTCTTTTGATGAGGCCAGCATTGTTTCCTTTAGATAAAGTCTAAACTTTCTTTTAAAGTCACAGGTTGCAGTTGTAGGGAATCCAGAAAGCACTGAGGAAGTTGAGAAAGGCGTGATAAAGTTGTTCTGTAGTTTTCGGACAAGTAGGACACAGCCACATCTCCTGTGGAAGCCTGAGTACTCAGAACCTTAGAAAATTAAGGACATAATTTCAAAGCTTCCATAAAAACTTTAATACAAACAGTCTAGCAAGTCTCAATTAAAGGGGTGCTCTCAAATATCTTAAACTATCTTGAAAATCCACCTGACTTCTAGAAGACTTCTTTAGATAAGTATGCAGTTTCTGAATTAGTTAACAAAAACAGCTTAAGGGATCCAGCATAATTCATTAGTCTGCTTGCTTTTTTTATTTTTTTTATGGGGTGGGTTTTTATGTTCAGTGTGGGGTTTTTGTTTGTTTGCTTTTATTTTTCATTAAATTTTTATATTTTGGGGGTTTGAAAAGAAAACTCCCGTTGCCCATTTTTATACTTGCCAAAGAAAATGCAGTAAGCCCGAGGAGCAGCTGGCCATCTAGTCACCCAGTTTGTTCAAACAGAAATCTTTTATATTTGGAAGAGATTTGTGCTTCCAGGGGCTAAAATTAGGTATCCAACAGAACCAGCTGGAAAATATGCATTAGACAGATAGTATGAATGTTGAAAACTTTTTTTTTCTCCTTTTCAGAAAGGTAAAGTAACTATTTCAAATAATGAGACTGAGTGCATTTTGCATCACATACCACAATCACTTACTGAAAATGTTAGTGCAAAGCACAGAGTGTTTTGTCACTTTCCTTTTCCATATAGATGTCTCTTAAGTGATATTGGCTGTTGTGAACCTTTGTATGTTTTTACTAAATTGACCTGAAATAAAAATAAAACAAAAATATAGGATGAGCAAGCTAACACAATAGCTTGAAAAAATGCAATTAATTGTATTTTAACACAGAAATAGAGAATGAGATGAATTCTTGAGATACTGGATACAGCTGAAATTACAATTTGTTTAAATCTCTAAACTGGTTTTAAGCACAGAATCTCACATCAATTTCCAGTTCAGAAGCATTTGAGACACATATGTATGTATGAGCAAAAAAGCTACCAGTTTGAATTGCCCACAAGAATCCATTCTGATTGCTTCTGTGAAAAATGGCATACAGTTCTCTGCAGCGTATGATCTTGAGAGGAGATGAAATTAAATGTACTATCGGTCCTTGCCATCGTTTCTGTATTGCTTATAGGTGAAAATTGATTTAGAGAGCTGGAGAAAAGGTGTCTCTGCCCTTGCCAACTTCTGTTTAGGATTTGAGATCTTAGGAAGGTCTCAAGTGCATAATTTGGGACTAGAGGATACTGAAACCTTCACCTTGCTTTAAAGTAACAAAAAGTATCTTTATTCCTGTTTGGGCAATTCAGTCTTGTGACGTCAGTTTCTACCTAGTGCTTGGCTTTTGTGACTGCCTATATGAGTCTCTTTTGTGGTGCCTTGCATACTTTTCAATTCCTTCAATATAAGAAAATTTAAGATCTGCTGGAAGCAAATGGAGTTTTAAAGATTTGCTAACTTTGCCTAAGTTTTTCAATTGTATATATATCTGCTAAAATGAGAGAATAACTAAACATGAGAATAGGGAACATAAGACCAGGTTTTGACTCAGTTAAGAATAATCAGACAAGCTTTTGCTTTAGACAAAACTTTGTTACAAAGTCATCACAGCAGATGCCCTTTGCCAATCTATTCCTTTAATATTTGGGATGTTTAGCTGAGCAGCTTCATGGAGATAAATGTGTTTGAGTTTGAAGCTGAGGATAAAAAATATTACATTTAGAAGGCTGTTTGTATTCTCACATACTTTTTTTTTCCCCCATGTTTTTTTCTCCATGTTGCTTAGAAGTTATTAAATACCTTCTGACACAAGCATTTACTCAGTATCTTACTTCTTCATTTGGGAAGAAATACTGGGAACTGGTATTTTGTACTACTTTCATCAAGATCAACACTCTAAATTCTTCAGTTACAATGAGGAATAGCAATGGCTCATATGAATAGTGGGGCTTTATATTCTAGTGACAAATTACAGAAAGCAAGGAAATGCATGTTTCGGAATGTATGCACTTGAACTGGAATTTCTGAGACAGAATCAAGGAGGATTCTTTTCTGTTGAATGATAGGAGCTTGTCACAGCCTAAAAAGATTTCCCTTATGGTGGAAATTGGAGCTCAACATTCATCTGAAATTAAAGTCTTGGGTCTTCTCTTAACCCAAATTAAATTAGCTCGGAAGTGTGAAGGTAACACCTTACCCACAAATAATCGTTGTGTCAGGGCTGCTTTAGGCTCCAGGCTCTCTGTCTTCGTTTTTAGTCCAATAAGAAGCAAGCTGTTCTTGTTCAAGTTCTCTCAGATTGTAAGAGCACTCATGGCTCGAACTCTCTTTCACTTTAGTCCTTTTACTCTTTTACTTTTGAAAAATGTGGAACTCTTCACCACATCTCTGTTTTTATCAAGTATCAAGGCCTCATCTGGCCTAACTCCCTAAATTAAGGTCATTCCTACTATTTGGTGCGGATTTTGCATTTGAACCTTATTTAATTCAGTCACTATTACCTGGGGGCAGGTATATCAATACAGCCTGGAATCTGAGTTTTTAATTTTGTTCCCATACAATTCTGCCCTTTAAATTTGTCTTTCTCCCTCAAAACCATTGGATACTTTTGTTAATTTTTTGCTACCACTTATTTAAACTCACACACTGGCCACAAATTATCTGCATATAAAAATATTTTATTGGGAACATGACTTTTCGTGACTCTATTATCATAGTGTTTGTACTTGCAGTGTGTTTGAGGCACATATTCCAGTGGTTTGCCTGGATATGAATTAAAGTGTCTTTTCTTATAGTATGCAGATCCATGCTATGATGTGTCATCCTAAACTAATCTGTGACTCCAATTTCAGCATGTGAGACAGAAGCAGCAAAAGTTTATCAGCTATCACTAGAAGAGCACCTACAGCCCTTCAAAGACAACATGGAGCAATTCATTAGTCAAGGTAAATAATGAAACATCACTTAACCTTTTCATGACATTTCAAAGGAAAGTTATGGGAACAATGTTTATACATTGTGGGAAAGGGACTGTTTATTTTGGCATCATAGAAAGACATGGATTAGTTTGATCAGATGCCACACAGTTCTAAAAGATTTGCAAAGTTGTTCTCTTGTACTGTAGGTGACTCACTCTCCAATGCTATTGGCTTGAGTGTGTGATCTTCTAAGTTCAACATTCCAGTAGAAAACAAATTTACAGCCTTTGTTCCTTGAAAAATTATTGAAGCTGGATTTGTTTCATTAACTTAATTCCAATGAGATAATTCTTTTATATGCGCCAAAAACATGGCATAAGCATAACAAAAGTAGTTAAAGGTTTTTCAGATATACTGCAAACCCATATGAAATATTTGGATGTGATTAATGAATAACACTGCAATAAAAAATATATTAAAAATATCCAGGATCAACTGGCATCCTGCATATTAGGAGAAAAACACTTTTAAAATGAATAGACTATGGTTTACTAGACTTTTTTTTGATGAGATTATAGGAAATATGGATAACTTTGGGTTTTCACTAATGCATGTCAGAGCATCTCTTGAAATTCTACGCTGCATCAACCGATTTGCTTTTTAGTACAAGTCAGAATTCAATGCATCAGGGTTAAAATACCCTGATGAGTATACCAACATAATTTTAACATTTTTCTGTGCATTTTTCTGCGCATTTTTCTGCTTTGATACTTCCTTTTATAATCAAAGACCTGTTGTCTCCTGAACAGGCATTAGGTGAGAATTCTGTTTCTAGTGCTGATTTATCAATTCATTAACCTAGAGCTACCATATCTAGAAATATTTATTAAATGAATGTGATTTGTATTTGAGAGGCCTGTCAGATATGCTTGTATATCTTCCTGGTTAGAGTATCCAAGATGACTATCTGTCCAAATGTTATAAGTGGAATACCTATGGAATCACAGAATGGTTTGAGTTGGAGGGGACTGAACCAGGCTACACATGTGCTGATCCATGCTACAGGAATCTCAATTACAGGGAATAAATTGAGCACACCAAATATTTTTAATCATCAAATATGAACTGATGTTTTCTAAGACAAGTCTGGGAAACAGGGTGTTGTCTCCAGCACTAGTAGGTATGAACCAATTTCAAGCTGAATTCTGGTTATGAATATATGGCATACAAATATTTCAGTAGTGGTACGATTGAACATGTAGCAAGTGTTTTGCTTTAGGTTCATATTATAGTTTTTATGTATAGATAGGGGACTTTCAAATCACAAGTTTGTCTGCAAGATATCACTGTTGGCATACTGTAAATCATGTCATTTAACCTTATTAACAGAGTAGGAAATCAAACATGGGGATTGTCCCTGGAAGTGTTCAAGGCCAGGTTATGGAGCTCTGAGCAACCTTGTCTAGTGAAAGGTGTCCCTGACTATGGCAGGGGGTTGGAACTAGATGATCTTTCAGGTCCCTTCCAACCCAAACCATTCTATGATTATATGATTCTGTTTCAGCAGAAGTAAAATTTGTTAAAATTGTGTTTTTCCTTTTAGAAACCATATTTTTTTAAAGTATCCAACTTTATACTTATGCTTATTTTATGATTTCTGGCTATACTTTCCTGAATATAATTTTATATATGCTGTATAATGATCTGGTTTTGCAAAGATATGCAATTTCCTTTGTGATTATGTGTCTGTACTTCAGGAGAGTGAGGAAAAAGAAAAGAAAAAGGTATATCCATCACATCCGTTAGGAGGTCTGCTGTGTTCCCATATTAATAGTGTATATTGTTGTGTGGTTAAGAAAAGGAGAAACCCATAATGTCAGTAACAATATCACTATCTCATGTTGATGAAAATAATTGGAAATGTATATTGTGAACACAGTAAAGTGTGACTAAACAATTTCTACATTTTTTTTAAATAGTAGGGCCTATTATGCAGAATTCTGTCCTAATGTAAGAAAGACAAAGGCTAACATATAGCAAGAAAGAATCCCTGGTTAAGTTCCAAAAATAAAGTAATTTAAATACCTTTCATTATGAAATCCTTTGTTTTTACTTCATGGGATTGAATTCCGACTTGAAAGAGGCCATGTTTAAAGCAGGATTTCTCTTTCCTGTTCAGTGTTTGACAAGCTTTTGATCTAGATATTTTTTCTAGGGGCTTTTGTTGTTTGTGTAGACATAATCGATGAGTCTTTTCAGCTAGACTGCACACGTGATCATTTAGAAAAACAGAGGGACAATTCTTGGCACCTTTTGGGGATTTTTGTTTATATAACATATGCTCTGGGCAAAGAAAAATCAAGCTTTACATTTTTATCTTTTCAAGTTCCAGTTTCTCTAAAGTCAGAAAAAGTTTTAACTTATAATTCAGATGAAAAGCATTTTTCATAAGGTTGAATTATTTGGCATGTTTATATGATGCCTTTTCAGAGTAGATAACTTGTGTGCATAATGGGACCCAAAAGTTCAAAGGAGCTAGTTACTTACAGCATATTCACTTATACGTGTTGCAAGCAGCTAAAATGGAAAATGGTTTTCCCACAGGCAAGAAAACTTGGATACCAAAGTAAATATCCTTGGCAAGGGGTTAGAAAGGCAATGCTTTATAAGAATAGTAACTGCCACACACAGCTAGATAACTTTGTGTTATGTTACTGCAACTAGTCTAGCTGATTGTTGCTAATTATGTATTAATTGAAAAATAGTTTTTTAATGTTAACACTTTTATTAGATTCATCAGAGACAAAACAAGGTTGTATATCTCTAACTTGATTGTAAAGATGGTTTCATTTGAAAGCTAAAGAAGGGAAAGAGGCAAGAATGTGTTCAGAATAATGAAATTTTTAGATTAAAGTGGTAGTGATACACGTGATGAAGGCTGTTCAGTATTTGCCTTGCTATCCAAGTCAGTAGGGTAAACAGCCAGCATGTGCATTAAAGTATGCAAATTAGTGACAGGATGCCAGTCCTTTCTTGAGGGACTTCATGATCATTCTTATAGTGATCAATATACTTAGCAGGAAGTTAAATTACCTGTGCTTTCCTTTCTACATTGGCTTAGTGGATATTGGCAAGCATGATTTACCCTGTGCACTGGATTTTTGAGGGTCTGTGTGCTTCAGAACCTCCAACAAAATTCTCTCTGTTCATCCAGGTTGTTTTCTTCCATGTTTTCTCCTCCTTGTTTTCTTTTAATGTTCTCTTTTTGAGTCCACATGCTGCAATCTTCAAATGTATGATATGGTTGTCCTGTTCTTATGAATGTCAATTTTTTTTCTGAACTTCACCATAGCCATACAATTTAAAAAGGGAAAAATAAAAAAAAAAGTGGAAGATCTGCTTCAACAAAGGATATTGAAGATAAGTAGTCAGAAAATACAAAACTTTTCAAAATAATTTTTTTCTTATTTAGTTTTTTATTGCTATTTACCTAAGCATTTCCAATATGTAATATATAACTGTGAAATTTAGTAAAATTTGTCCTTTCCAATGAAAATTTATTCATACCAAACAGTAGGAATTTAAAATTTGCATGTTCCAAATATAGCATATATAGTCACATTTTCTGTCTTTGAGTTATTCCTCACAAGTTGTCACAATTTGAATGAGAGAGATTGAAAGCAAAGCACTGTTTGGGAACCTTGTCTCCATTGTTCCATATGCAGCTGTGGATAGGTAGGGGTGCAAATACATGAGAGATCACATCTACCAGCTTGGAAAGTTTCAGAAATCACTTCTTTTTCTGGTGAAAATGAGTCTGACATGAGACAGTGGGGAAATGCTGAGGGTACTAATTATCACATGGCTTGTAGAGGAATTTCTTTAGCAGTTAGTAATCCTTTAGCCTTGTCCCCACTGGACAGGTTAGACAGCTCAAACTGAAAGAATTGTGTGTGCATGAACCACAAATGATTCGTAGTCCTCAGATTTTAACTGTGGTTAAGTTTGCAGTGAGAAGCAGTCTCTGGGTGTCTGCTGTTGAGGTGCTGTCTTGGCTGTGCATTCTTGTCAGCTTGATAAAGCAGGAGACTCACAGCAGGAGGTAGCAGCCATCACTCCCTCAGAATAGCAAGTCTTTTTTGGGAAGTGGGAAGATTCAGTATGTTGAAATCACAGCTTTTCCACTGAGATTCTATAAATTGTGAAAATGTTGCAGACTTCAAATCTGAACAAATCATCCTACATCGTATTAAGAAGCCAAGCCAATATAATTCGTTTTAGACTTTAGAAAAAACATTATGCCGTGGGAGGAGTACAAGCATTGCTTGCAGAAGTAAAAACAAAATTTTCTGATGTTTGGCTAGTTCATTTAAAAGCAATAAGAATTATTCCAGTGTGATTTTAAGTTTTGGACCACAGGGTAGCCATTCAGTCTTTGGTTCCTTCTAATCTAAATTTGCAAAACTGCAGTTCTGCTATTGTAAATGAATACAAGCACCAGGTTTTGTTCTGCTGGACCCAAGAATATAGACTCTTCTCCAGACATTAATTCTAGTCACATCCTGATGATCTTACAGAATAAAGATGCTAAAATTGTCCTGTTGGTTGAACTGTCTGTAACTACCTCCTTCTTTTGCCTGGAAGAGCTTTCAGGAACCCAGTTTGCAAACTGTTACTAAAGGAATGTATAAATCACAGTGAGTTCTATTTATCGCTGTAGCTGCAACCAGATAGTTGGTCATGACTCGTTCTCTTAGGTCAAGTACCAAGAGGCTATGCACCATCAAATGATGGATTGTGAATGAGACTAAAGCATCAGACTGAATTTTGGATGTCTGGGTTAAGTTCCTGGCTCCAGAAATACTGTAGATGATTGCAAAATGAGTGCTGCTATGGTAATCTGAATTCTGGCCTTTTCTAACCCAGAATGATTGATTTTGCAGATTTCATTTTCTTTAAATATTGTTTTTATAATTTGATAAATATAAGGGAGAACATAGCAGTAGTTCATAATTTTTCTAAAAATA